TGGCACAACAATCAGCCACCAAAACCGAAGTCAAGGTATAAACCAAGCGGAACAAAGCCACGAGGACCACGAGCAGAGCTGCCACGTATCGATCCTGAATTCAAGGCAATTGTCGAAGGTCTTGACGACTATCATCGTATCGATTGGCCCAACAACAAAGATTTCTGTAATGGCCTTAAGCATTTGACCAATCAGTACACAGATAACGTCGTCACCAATCTTGAAACGCATGCCAACAAACACATCACCCAGTACTTGAAACTGAAGGTTTTCCAATGGAACTCAGACGTAGGAGATGATGCAGAGAAATTTTTGCCAAGTGACATCGCAAGTGTTGTGAATCTGATCATCAAACAAAAAGACATCAAAGTGCCAAGTCGCGATCCAAACAAACTCGAACGGTGTAGCGTGTTGTATGACATGGTGAACGACCTGAATGTGTTCCCAGATATCGATCTGCATGACCTTACAACTGACCCAAAACATTGGTATAAGGCCATGCCAATGTACCTATCCATGCAGCGCGAGATAGAAGAGTACAATTCGGAGTGGCCACATCAGCGCCGACCCAAACGCAAGAAGAGAAAGCGAAAAAAGACAAAAGGAAAATGGAAACGCAAGCGCAGCCAAATGCTCGACAACCCAGATTTTCGGCCATTGATTCGAAATTTAGTAGTGGTGCCGATGTGTGATTTCCGGCGTACGCACTTCAGAATCGATTGTTCATCCATGCACCAGGTGTTGTCTTCGCAAAAATTGCTACCGAAAGTGGAAATCGAGAATAAAAAAGGAACAACAAGCACGAAAACGATTCAACAAAAGGATTTCAACCGGGACAGAGATTATTGGTGGAATCAGTATTTTTACATGCGAAAAATTCGACGATTCGTGCGTGCCAAAAAGCAGTTTGACTATTCCATAAACACCGATGGAATCTCTGTGTCTCTCCAGTACTCGGCCAAAAAGGAGACAGCCAACAAAGAAATCGACCAAAAATCTCGCATCATTCAGAAGATTGAGGATGGCACAATCAAAAATTTTTCGGGCGTTGATACAGGTGTGCGAAGTTGGAATACCACAACAACACACGACATTGAAACTGGCAAAGAAGTAAGTTTTGTATACATTTGAATAAGTTGTGTGTATTTTAATAGAAAATGCTTAAGTGCCAAAACTCAATAACTATACCTTTTTTTCTATTTATTTTTTCAGACCAACTTTGTAATGTCGAGCAAGCAATTCCACTGGCAAACAGGTCAAAAGGTGCGAAATGCCAAAGCAGCGCGATGGACCAAAAATTTCGTCGAAATGGAGCGCGCAGACAGAGAAAACCGTGATCTGTATCCAGTGATGCCGTCGCCAAAAGGGTCAATGTGGCTGAACTACATCAAACACCGAGTCAAGATGATGAAGCATGGAATCTGCGCTTACTCGACTGCCAAATACACTCGACTCGCCTTGGACAAACACATCAAGAGCAGTAGTGTTGTCGACGAATGGGTGAATAAGGTGACCGATAAGAAACCGACTCTGTTCTTTTTTTGGTGCTGATGGCGAAATACCACCTGATAGCCCAATAAGTATCAAGAAGCACGTGCGCTGCCCAGGGGTTCGTTTGACTTTGAGGTCAATAAAGAAGCGCCGAGATTGTTTCATACAATTGGTGGACGAATGGGGAACATCTCAAACCGACGCAAGATGTATGAATCGATTCCAAAACCAGAACAAAGCGGCCAGATTCAAGAAATGCCGATGCGTACCCGACGCCAGAACATTGCTGCCAACGAAAATTGTGTCAAAGTTGGGCAAAACGGATCTATCGATCTACCGACAGTTGCAACGCGCCATGAACGAAGAAGCATTGGTAGGAGACGAGCGTTTATTCCCAAAAGTAAAATGTTACTACAAAAATTGGCGATTAAACCTCGAATGCTCTGTGATTTGGCATCGTGACGTCGTGGCTGCTAAGAACATTCTACTAAAAGGTAAGACTAATTGACGCACAATTTCGATTGAATGATTTTTTAAGAAGGTTCATTTGTTTAATTGTTCAGGACTATGGACATTACTGGGACTTCCGATACCAGAGGCGATCAATAGGTATTGGCGCGAAGCTGCTGAAGCAGCCGCTGCTGCTGCCGCCATCGTGGATAATGATGTAGAAATGTTCGAGTACGACCAGCAGCCAGCTGATCATGCTGTCTAATCAGCACATTGCAAACAAAAAAAAAACAAATGTAACATTAGTTATTAAAGGCTATCCCGATCATGTGGGATAGTTGCGTTGAAGCAAGTTGACTCCCCATATGGTTGATGTTAACTGCGCAGGAGTACTCTAGTGGGTCGTTTAGGTAAGCATTATTCGATTTTGCAAAGAGTTTTTTTTTCTTCTGGAAGTGTTGTATAACGCTCTATTAATGCTACCAGTTGACATAAAATTGGCTTCTCTTTAAATTTATGCTATTCATTCTTCTTTTTCAGATTAGCTGAACACCCTAATGTACAAACACAAAGATCGCCAAGAATGTCATAAATTATAAAAAAAAGAGTTTATATTTCAAGTTTTAACTACATGTAGTGTTTGTCATAAATGCAAATGCGAAATGAACGATAAAATAAATGAAATTGAACTTAAACGTATAACAATTGTATATTGATAAGTTAATAGCTTTGCAAGTCTTCACTCCTTATTCCACAATGTAAATAACTACATATATTCTTAAATCCATTGTTCGCCTTAGATTTTATTACATTTTAATTGTATGATGTCGCGTATTTTGTGATTCTCTTTTGTAAATTTGTCGCTAAAAAAATAACTGAAAGAATTTTAAAAATTGAGAAAGAAGCTTTTGTGATGTGGATTTTTTTCCCCATATTTATCTGTCGTTCCAGAATATTGGAAAATACGAAATTTTCGAATGTGTCTTTTAGTTTTTGAACTAACAACATGAACCTTACATCCATTATCTAAAGTTAATGTTTAAAAATTATGTCTAAAATAGTTGTATATTCAATAGGGTCGCCAAACGCTGCTGGGATCACCGACTTCTTCATCGCGATTGCTTGTCTCGTGTTCGTTGCGGTGGTGATGGCCATCACTTTTATCATTTTCCATTATCACATTTTGATTTTCCGTTGGACCGCTCAGTCCGATCTCAGCGCTTGCATTGCGGCCAGAGCTTAGGCTCAGACC